GCATACAGAAATGTTGTGTGATATTCCAGGCTGTGCCTCTAAAGAGAAGGAGCATGCTCTCCACCTCTCCTTCCTCCTTTTCACTGACTGAAATGTGGATGAAGATGTAGATACAGATGAGGGCATTACCTTAGTGACCAATACCAGGAAGAAAGGATCCTGCGTCCCAGGACCATTGTGTTGCCACAGAAGCCCTGAACACTCACACGTAATTAAAAAAAAAACCCCTATCTTTATAAAGTCATAGTATTGGATTATCTGTTATAGAAGTTGAATGTGTATTTTCATAAATATAAGATATGTTTGTTAAAAATGAAGGATATAAGTCTTCTTGTCCTGTACAGCAATGGTTGGTAAATTATAGGTATAGGTCAAATCTAGCCCAATGCTTGCTTTTGTAAGCAAAGTTTTATTGAAGCGCAACCTAAGTTCATTCACTTATGTGTTAGCTGTTTTCTCACTATACTATCAGAGTTGAGGAGTATGACAGTGACTGTATGACCGACAAACTCTAAAATCTTTATTAACTGGCCCATAATAGAAAAGACATTGCTGCTATAGAGAGAAAGAAAAAGAAAAAATCGTTCATCCAGTAAAAGCAAAGAGAAACAACAGCATATAGGAAATAATAAAAATGGGGAATTTAAAATAAAAAGTCAAGAATATGACTAAATATATTAATTAAAATAAATGTGAGTGGACTAACTTCCCCCATCAATACTTTAACATTCTTCAGGTAAGACAGTGAGTCAAGCCTGGAATTGTCAGGAAATTTGTCACATTTAGCTAAAGAGTAAGAACTTCAGAGGGGCAACAACAGAAGGGATTTGGTATGAGTAGAATTTTCACAGAAAAGGAGGAACTTTACTTTCAAGAAATTCTGTGTGCAAAATTTTAGGTAACTGTTAGTAAGCTGACTAAGAGAATCAAATCATTTCTGCCAAAAAATGAGAGACTGAGAAAAGCCAGACTTGCTCCTTGAATGATCCTAGGGACTCTTAGTGAAGTATTCTCAGGGAAGGGGAACTATAGGACAGACAGAAATGACATAAAAGTCAATTATGGCTGGATATGCTGGCTCATGCCTGTAATCCCAGTGCTCTGAGAGACTGAGGCAGGAGGGTCGCTTAAGCCCAGGAGTTTGAGACCATCCTGGGCAACATATTAAGACTCTGTCTCTAATAACTAACTAACCAACTAACTGAATTAATTAATTAATAAGTCAAATCTATGGTTCTCGTGTTCTTGGGTTGTTTTGTGTTGCTATAAAGAAATATCTTGCCAGGTGTGTTGACTCAGGCCCAGGAGTTCAAGACCAGCCTAGGCAACATAGTGAGATTCTGCCTCTAGAAAAAAATTAAAAAAAAAAAAAAAAAAAAAAAAAAAAAAAAAAAAAAAGAAATACCAGAGGCTGGATCATTGATAAAGAAAAGAAGTTTAATTGGTTAATTCATAAAGAAAAGAGGCTTAGTTGGCTCACAGTTCTGCAGGCTGTACAGGAAACATGGCACAGGCATCTGCTGGGCTTCTGGTGAGGCCTCAGGAAGCTTTCAATCATGGTAGAATGCAAAGCAGGACCCAGTAACTCACATGTGGAGAAGAGGAGAAAGGGAGAGAGTTGCAGGGAGGTGCCACACACCTTAAACAATAGGATCTCATGAGAATCCTCTCACTATCCTGAGGACATCACTAAGCCACCTTTATGACCTAAACACCTGCCACCAGGCCCCACCACCACCAATAGGAATTACAATTCAACATGAGATTTGATGGGGACATATATGTAAACTATGTTTTCTACCAAAGAACATAGGCCAAGTTTAATTGAATGAGATCAAGTGCTTGGAAACCACCTAATTAGTATACAGTGTCTACTGTACTCTTATATTTGTTAAACAAGAATTAATCGTATTCCCAAGTAGCTTATGAAATTCTTACCATTGGAGAAATACAGAGAAGGGCCCATGATTCCAGTTATGGATAAATGAGAAACACTCATTCCTTTGGGGTTACCCAAGGACAGAAATAGTGAAGAGATCTTTAGTCTTTGGGCTTCTCTGGGCATATTTTGTTTCTGTACAGCCCAAGGGGGCCTCTTATCTTTGTATTACACATGCCAGTCTTGGTCATACTTTCTTTGAGGGGCATTTGATAGTCTGTCTCTCATTTCCAGCACCTGTTATGATGTCACGCACCTCAGCCTCAACCACTTTTCCAGAAAAGACTAAACAAATCCTCTAATTATCTACAGAGCCTACTAAGGGAAGGCTGATATGAACTGAGCAAGTACTGGGCAGGCAAAATGAGGGGATGGAGATGCAGAGATGATACCTTGACTCTCTTCTCATATCCCCATGGAATTAGAAATACTTCTTTTCACTTCTACAATTGTGAATAGAGTACCAATCTTTTAAAATTATTATTATTAAAAAAAATTTTTTTAGAGGCAGGGTCTCACTCCGTGGCACAATCACAGCTCACTATAACCTCAAACTCCTAGGCTCAGGTGATCCTCCCACCTTAGCCTCCCAAGTAGTTAGAACTGTAGATAAATGCACCATGCCTGGCTAATTTTTAAATAATTTTTTATAGAGACAGGGTCTCACTATGTTGCCTAGGCTGATCTCAAACTCCTGATCTCAAGTGGTTCTCCCACTTTGGCCTCCTAAAGCTCTGGGATTACAGGCGAGTGCAACCTCTCCCGACCAAGTAACAATCTTTAAATCTAGAACTAGTGTTAATCCAGAGCTAAATTTTTTTTTCTGGGATGTTATAGAGTAACTGGTCTTATTAACAGTTCATTAAATAAATATTTCCTGTCACCTCTATGTAAGGTATTACTTTAGGTACTGTGGATTCCAGGATGGATAGTATGTGTCCTCTGCCTTTGATGAATTTACATCTAATAAGGATTAAAAAAAATTCAAGGATAAACTATCCTCTTTTCTCCCCTTACCACTTTCCCCTAATGCACTAATATAGACAAATAGTATGCAAAATGGTATACCAACTATTAGTCATCAAATTTAGTTATACAGCTGTTACAATACTTATATTGGAGTGGACCCTATAGACTATGGGTTCATTTCTGCTCCTAAAATCAACTGCCTTTGAAAACAAAAGGACAGAAAATCAAGGACTATATTAGTCCATTCCCAAACTGCTAAAAAGAACTACCTGAGACTGGGCAATTTATAAAGAAGAGAGTTTTAATTGACTTAAAACTGCATGGCTGGGGAGGTTTCAAGAAACTTGCAATCATGTCAGAAGGCAAAGGGGAAGCAAAGCACATCTTGCATAGTGGCAGGAGAGAGTGCAAGGAGGGGAACTGCCAAATGCTTGTAAACCATCAAATCTCGTGAGAACTCACTCATTATCACAAGAAGAGCATGGGGGAAGCCACCCCCATGATGCAGCCAACTTCCACCAGGTATCTTCCTCAACACATGGGGATTACAATTCAAGATGAGGTTTGGGTGGGTACATAGAGCCAAACTATATCAAGGTTTTTTGCTGCTATAGGCTGAATTCATTTTGCTGATATCTGAGTATTACCAAAATTTAGCGGTAAAGGGAAAATTTAGGCTTAGTTTTTTAAAAACTCAATTTTTTGATGTGTCTCTTAAAATTAGTGTTTAATTTGTGCTTTTTTTTTGAAACAGGTCTAATATTTTCTGCCACCCAACACATACTGCCTGAGTAATACACTAATGAAAAATTGCAACACTGCAGTATGGGAATGACTTGAACTCAGTTTTTACATATTTGTTTCTGGACTACTAATGGCTTTCTGAAACCAAACCAAAACAAAAACACTCTATTTTTAAACTTGCAATGAAAGAAAGGATGATTAAGAAGTTTGGGAACAAATTTTCTTGTTGTAGAGAGGCAATTTTGAGACCATAGTTTTCATTTACCACTTTCAGGGACATTTTACCACCACAAACGTGTTTTGTGCATAATAGAATCACATGAAAGTCACTGGAGTTGTGGTTGTCCCTTTGCTGGTAACTGCCAAATCTGGTCATCAAAGAGTTGCATGTTCTAGTACTGGCCTTAGGCAAAATTACCAAGTAGGTGTAGTTTGTGTTTGACACCTCTCACTTCCTATTTCCAGGCTTCCTTCTGCTCTTTTTGTAGTTACCCTTCTCCCTTCTTCAAACAATCAGTTCGTCATGCTCAATTCTCAGTCTCACTCCCACTACATTTTATGATATAATGCAGGGGTCCCCAACCCCTGGGCCATGGACTGGTATTGGTCCATGGCCTTTTAGGAACTGGGCCCCACAGCAGGAGTAGTGGTGGGCAAGCAAGCAAGGCTTTATTTGTATTTACAGCCCTTCCCCATCACTCACATTACTGCCTGAGCTCCGCCTCCTGTCACATCAGCAGTGGCATAAGATTCTCATAGGAGTATAAACACTATTGTGAACTGTACATGTGAGGGATCTAGGTCGGACACTCCTTATGAGAATCTGATGCCTGATGATCCATCAGTGTCTCCCATAACCCCCAGATGGGACCATCTAGTTGCAGGAAACAAGCTCAGGGCTCCCACTGATTCTACATTATGCTGAGTTGTATATGTCACCATATATTACAATGTAATAATAATACAAATAAAATGCACAATAAATGGAATGTACTTGAACCATCCTGAAACCGTCTCCCTCTCCACAGTCTGTGGATACATGATCTTCCATGAAACGGGTCCCTGGTGCCAAAAAGATTGGGGACCACTGTTGTGATGGTTAGTGTATGTATCAGCTTGACTGGTCTAAGGAATGTCCAGATAGCTGGTAAAATTATTTCTTGGTGTGCCTGTGAAGGTTTTTGGAAAAGATTAGCATTTGAATCAGTAGGCTGAGTAAAGAAAATGCCCCCGCCAATGTGAGTGGGCATCATCTAATCTGCTGAGGGCCCAAAGAACAAAAAAGCAGAGGAAGGGTAAATTACTCCTCTCTTCTTGAGCTGACACATTCATCTTCTCCTACCTACAGATGTTAGAGGTTCTACAGTTTTCAGACTCCAGGACTTACATTAGCACCTCATACCGTAATCCCAGCCCAGGTTCTTAGGGCTTAGACTTGGACTGAATGACATCACCAGCATTCCTACTTTTGCTGCTTGCAAATGGATCATGTGACACATCTTGGCCTCCATAATGATGTAAGTCAACTCCCATAATAAATTATCTATCTGTCTATCTATCTATCTACCTATCTACCTACATCTACCTATCTACCTATCCATCCATCCACACACACATATATGTCAACCTATATTGTCAACCGATGAGGTCTGTATTACAGGTTGTAATGGTTTTTTTCTACAGGACATCATTTCAGAAACAAAAATAGCATTCAGACCAATAAAAACTAGGTTTGAATATTTATATCAGAAGAGTTTGTTGATATTTGTATATATGTGTGTGTGTGTGTCCTTTTGGCTCTGTTTCTCTGGTGAACCTGTAATACAGACCTCATAGCAACCTATCAAAATCTAGCTTTTTATATCACATTCCCTTAGAGCCTTTTTTCCTCCAAAACATTCCTGGAGCTCATCTGCTTAAGCAGATTGACTTAATGTATTTTGACTGTTAAATGTCTTAATGAATTACACTAGTTGCTTCACTGTGTGTTATTTTGAGGTTCTAACTTCAGATTTCTCAAAAGTTAATAACTGACCATGTGAAGAATAATTTCCATCTTTTCCTAACTGACTGTTAAAAAAAGTTTATTCTTTTGTTACCCACATTCAATAATCTCTTAAGAATTTAGTACTAGAAAAGTATCTCTTTCCTAGAACTGGCCTTAGGCAAAATCACCAAGTAGGCATAGTAGATGTATTATACCTATTAGAAGAAAAGACAAACTGATGTCTTTTCTTTCAATAGGTGATAATAGTATAATAAATTCTAACAATTTTATTTGGCCAGCTTCAGGAAACTTAGAGCTCAATTAATGTTTAAGCACAGTAATAGTATTAGTCTGGGTTCAGGGCATATTTAACTCTTTCTCTGGTCTCTATACTAATGGTCTAAGGGCCAAGGTCTTTTTAAATATGGGCTACCTCATGTTTTCTTAGAAGCAAACAAAAATAAATATAGATTTGATTCTATCATATTACTCCTTACAGAATCACGTTCACAATTTCCTAAAATCATATGGAAACAAAAGACATTATATCAAAGCGGTGGTTACAATAACTGAGACATGACAATGCCTTGGGGGGATTATTTTCATAGTCTGTTGGTATCTGCCAAATCACATTCTTAGGGAGTTGCTTTGATAGGCCCACCTTTAGGACTGGCCCAGGAAGACAATCCTTGTGTTGGCTGTGCTAGGGAGAGGGAGCTTGGTGGGCTCCTCCTGGAAGCTGGGATACTAGCTTGAAAGAGCTATTCAAGAGAAGATGAGAAGCATGTCAGTTTGTAATCTGTTCTAGCCTAGAAGGTTATGCAGGAAGATGCCATGAAGGGAGGGGGTGACAGGGAACTTATCAACAAACTCTTCTGATATAAATATTCAAACCTAGTTTTCATTGGTCTAAATGCTATTTTTGTTTCTGAAATGATGTCCTGTGGAAAAAAAATCAGGGCAACTAGGGCATGCCTGTGCACACCTGGGATTTTATAAGAGTTCGAGTTCTCAACCATCCACCCCCCAACCTAATTCCCATCTAGTTCCCTCTTAACTTAGAAGAACACCTTTATTTAAAGAGAACCTTCACTGTGGATCTCCTTTACATGATGTAAAATGGCCTCTTTTAGAATTTAATTCTGCACAGCTGGACAAGCAAGGGGGGCGATGCAGGTTGCCACAGAAACTGCTGTTGGTGCTGGGATTCTTTATACTTTGCTCCAAAAATAAGATGTGAAATGTACCGAGGGTGTGATTAGCACAGCACAGAAGGGAATTTCTAAAAGGAGTGCCAAGCCTCCCACCCCCACAGGAACGGGGGTGTTCTTCATAGCTGGAGGACAGGACATAAATCTGGGAGCAGATGCTCAACACGGTTCCTCCCTCAAAGGTGCAGGGAAAGACAAGTGGGAAAAGTGGCTTTTAAAGAGGAAAACCATCTTCCATCAAGCAAAATTCATATAAATTCCAAGGTTGAGATGTCCTGAAATTACCCAGGAAGTAAATAGAACTGTTCTCCTAGCCTACCAAAAAGTCACAGAAATTTGGCAAAGGCACTAGATCAGATTATTGTTGTCCAGTGTCCAGCCCAGCACAGGATGCTGTCACATCCCACCTTGGCCAGATGGTTGCCTGGTCAGTTGGACATATTCAATGACCTTCACTTTTTTGGGGAACATGTGACAACTAGAATGTCTCTCTAAATATTGTTGGAGTCTGCCATTCTGTAACTTCCACTTATTTACCCTTGTTTACCTTCTGGGGCAACCAAGAAAAGTCGATTATTACATTACTTTGTTTGTTTGTTTTCTTTTTTATTCTTTTGAGACAGAGTCTCACTCTGCCATCCAGGCTGGAAATGCTGTGATCTCACCTCCCAGGTTCAAGTGATTCTCCTGCCTCGGTCTCCCAAGTAGCTGGGATTACAGGCATGGGCCACCATGCCTGGCTAATTTTTGTATTTTTAGTAGTGACGGGGTTTCACCAAGTTGGCCTGGCTGGTCTTGAATTCCTGACCTCAGGTCATTTGCCTGCTTTGGCCTCCCAAAGTGCTGGGATTACAGGCATGAGTCACTGCACCCAGCCTCGCTTTTTTTTT